TCTATCTATCTATCTATCATCTGTCTGTCTATCTATCTATTTATCTATCATCTGTCTATCTATCTATCTATCTATCTATCTATCTATCTATCTATCTATCCATCCATCTATCTACTTACCTACCTATCCGCCCAGTCACTCATCCATCCATTCATCTAGCTATTTATTTTCAAAAGGGGATGTGTTTCTAACCCAGGGGAAGCAATCACGGAAAGAAGGACCGAACTAGATAAAGAGGGATTGTGATTCTGAGGGCATTTGCCCTCTCATCTTACAGATGAATGCAAGGAGGGAAGTTCAAGGAGGGTTATTCTGCTGCCCCCTGACTCAGGGTAAAGGAAGCCCTGGTGGTGCTGAGGGTTAGGCCCTGGGATGCTAATCTCAAGGTTGGTGGTTCAAACCCATCAGCCATTCTTCAAGAGAAAAAGGAGGTTGTCTACTCCTATAGAGATTTACAGTCTCAGAACCCATCAACAGGGTCGTAGGAGTCAGAACCGACTGGATAGCAGTGGGTCTGGTTGTAGTTTTGGTAGAATCCAGGGTCCGTTCGCCCCAGACCCACAAGACCACGCAGAGTTTGGGGCAAACGTACTGGTATACAAGGAGCTGTCATCATCCTCGTCCTCTTCCTCTTCCTCCTCTTCTCTGGTGTACAGGCAAGAAGAGTCTTCGTAGTCTGACTCATGAGGCACATTTTCTTTATTGTCATCACATTCAATCACAACGGTTGGCACTTGTCTTATTTCCGGGAGGCCCAGAGGTCCTGTCTTTGTGATCCCGTCCCCCGAGTGCAAACCAGAGCTGTGGTAAGAGGTGGAACAGGGGACCCGCTGCTCAGAGCTGTGCAGAGAGAAGGAAGAAAGACACCATTAATTTGGGCCACGATGTCATATAACTGCACGGAACTGCCAATAATCTTAAAGTCATTGTAACTATGTCCTATGAGGAGATTAAAGAGCAATCACTATTTTAAACCTCAGTTGTCCAGGCCTGAGAGAGAAATTCTACCAGAGGGTTAGATACGGGCCGCTCATTTTAGGGCAGTAGAGAGTCCTGATGATGGGAGCAGATTTAAGAATTCTACCTTTACACAGTTTTCTAGTTAAGATCAAGAATTCCAAGTGCCGAAGGGCACTGGCACCTGGCACAGGTGACAGGGCTGATGTGACCTTGCAGCCGGAGATCCAGCAGTGAAGGAGAATACCACAAGGCTGTAGCTCTCCGAGCTCCGAGGGTGACTGGCTGGAATGGCAGGTTCTTGGGTGGTGCCAGTGCTTTGTGTTCTACTACTCAGCTAACAGCTCCCATTCGAAGCCCCTGGTGGTGCTGTGGAAGAGCAGCCTGGCAGTCTGCCTCCACAAAGATTACAGCCCGAACTCACCCCACAAGGCTCAATCTTCAGCCAAACCATTGACACGTCTATAAGGGGACCACTAGGACTACTAACCCCAAACCACACTCACTGCCGTCAAGTCGGTGCCGACTCATAGCGACCTTATGCACAGGGTCGAAAGGCCCCTGTGAGTTTCCGAGACTGTAATGCTTTGCAGGAGTAGAAAGCCTCGTCTTTCCCC